ACGCGATCAACCCAACTCTAAACTGACACCATTATGGAATCTTTGAAAGTGGAACATGACAAAGACAACAGTTCACTTCTCTTTTGTATCGTTGAGGGATTGGTTCAACACATATGAGGAATTTTCAGGGTTCTTATTGTGTCCTTAAAACTCCCAACAGCTTATGTAAGGCTCCAAAGTAATTGTCCATCCTCTCACTGACCAATGCCTGGGCTGAGAGTGCATCTGAGCACATACAATGTGCTTTTCTTTAATCACTGTGGAGCCACAGTCAACTTGCAACTTCTGAACATGGAAGGTTTAGGTTGCATAAAGTTAAATATTCATGAATCAAAATATTTGAATGAAAAGGAAAGGAGTTTTTAACTCACTCCCTCTCTCTCTCTCTCTCTCTCTCACACACACACACCCCTTCAAAATTAAAACCAACTGAAAATCAAAACACATGTTTTAAAACTCACACCTTGAAACCTGAATTTTATAAGCAAATTTGAAACTGAAGAACCAGATCAGAATTGTTTCCATCCAATCTGTTTCAATCCTAGTAGCAGCATTGTTTTGGGTGGCCCAGCCTCAGATTTCTACCCACCGTGGCGGATGGAAAAATGACAAGCAATATTATATCTGCATTTTAGCAGGGAAAAAGAGGCCATGTCTTTTCCAATCTGGCCCAACATTTGGAGGGCTGTAAATGTGTGCAGTTACTCTGCGTTGTCCACCATGCCATCGCTGCCTCCACTAGGTGGAATCAGAATGTTCACTTTCCACCTATATGTGCAGTTCACTTCTTTAACGCAATTTTTCACCAATGTGTGCTGAGCTGTAGGTGTGCATTCAGTGCTCCATCTCCCTTATGAATATATTAGGAAGCAGAAATGGGACTATGCTGTGTGGCAGAAGAGGGCACTTGCTGCCTCCATGTACTGGACCAGGTAAGGGAAGATATATAGAATATTCCAACCTAGGATACATCCGTAAGTGTAAATGAGCTACGCACTGGGTATTTCAAATACAGTGGTACCTTGGTTTACGAACTTAATCCGTTCCGGAATTCTATTCTTAAACCAAAGCGTTCTTAAACCAAGGCGTGCTTTCCCATAGCAGCGGGGGACTCAATTTACAAATGGAACACACTCAACAGGAAGCAGAACATGTTCTGCTTCCAAGGCAAAGTTCACAACCCAAAACACCTACTTCCGGGTTTGCAGCGTTCTTAATCCAAGTTGTTCATAAACTAAGCTGTTCTTAAACCAAGGTACCACTGTATTATTTATTACACTCACTCTGGATCTTGGACTAGCGTGCTCTTGCAATGCAAAAAACTCATTGGATGGGGCAGACAGAGTAATTGTTGGAGCACATAGCAAACTGGGTCAACAGCTCACCAAAATCCAGCAATCATTTGTTAGAGGGGAACAGACAGCAACACTGTTAGGTAACTTAGGCTTCCTGTTTACAACCCACTTTTCTGCTTCAAAAGAAAAACCTACACTGGTTAACACAGGCAGTATGAAATAGTGGTGTGTATCAGATTCAGAGGACTCCAAAATCCTGAGCTGGAACAAGATGCCCCAGAGGGATTTTGTCCAAGGTCACATGGGATGCATACAAGGCTGCGTGAGCCAAACCAGGGAACCCCAAAAGCATTTCACAGCACTTGGGCTATCCAGGTATTACTGTATTTTTCGCTCTATAAGACACACATTTTCCCCTCCAAAAATTAAGGGGAAATATGTGTGTGTGTTATGGAGCGAATGCAGGCTCCTTGGCTTCAGCGATAGCAACGTGAAGCCTCCGAAGCACAGTGGGAGCGCTCCCGCCGCACTCCGGAGGCTTCGGGTTGCCTTCCCTGAAGCCTGGAGAGCGAGAGGGGTCGGTGCGCACTGGAGGCTTCGGGTTCCTTTCACAGAAGGGTAGGTGCCCCTTCAGCTAAGGCGCAGTGCCCCTTCAGCTAAGCAGGAGGAGAAATGGAAGGGGCTCCGTTTCTCCTGTCGCTTCGCTGACGGGGCGCTGCGCAGAGAGGGGGAGATTTTTTTTTTCTTGTTCTCAACCTCTAAAACAAGGTGCATCCTATGGTCGGGTGCGTCCTATAGAGCGAAAAATACAGTAAATGTTGTGGACAAGCATCTGCCGAAAGCAGAACTACCGTATTGGCCCGAATATAAGCCACACATTTTTCTTCTTCCAAATTCCAGCTGTGTAAAGTTAAACTACGGCTTAAATTCGCGACCTTACAAAAATTGGCATAAGGTAAAACGGATCCAAAAAATGTTTTATTGCCGATTTGCGAGCTTGAGACTGTTGTGCAATTAATTCTAACCCACTTGCGGGTGCTCTCTAGTACCCATAGGATTTTCTTCTACATTTGCCATTTATGGGTGTGAGTGCCTGTGGAATTTAAGGGAGCGGCTTATATTCGGATATTGTCTCTCTCTCTCCCCCCCTCTTGAATTTTAGAGGTGCAGCTTATATTCGGGGGCGCCTTATATTCGGGCCAATACGGTATGTCTCTAAACTGACCATGTAAAGAAAATGCCTGGGCATGAGAGCAGCTTAGTAAAACCAAAACTTAGATTTCTAGTTCAAGGGAAATGCCCAGCTCAGGAGCAGAAAAGGGGAGCTCCTTTGTGACTGACAGGTCCAATTTGTAACCAGGGGTCACCATTTTTTCAGCACTCTTTAACCCCAATCCTTTGTGGGTGGCTGGGGGTTTACAAGTATGAAACTGGATGTCTCCAAACTTAAAGCAGATGCCAGGACAGGGATGGAGAGAGTAGATGGAGAACTTAGCTGTGACTTTCTTAAGTCAAGCTTATAAAAAGTAGAAATGATTACACCTGGAAAGATAATTCCTTTTCATTCTCCCTAGTGTGGTGTAGTGGTTAGGAGCGATGGACTCGTAATCTGGTGAACCGGGTTCGCGTCTCCACTCCTCCACATGCAGCTGCTGAGTGACCTTGGGCTAGTCACACTTCTCTGAAGTCTCTCAGCCCCACTCACCTCACAGAGTGTTTGTTGTGGGGGAGGAAGGGAAAGGAGAATGTTAGCCGCTTTGAGACTCCTTCAGGTAGTGATAAAGCGGGATATCAAATCCAAACTCTTCTTCTTCTACCCCAAAATTAGTTTTGTGGGTGCCTGGTACAAAAGACCCTGGACCTACTGAATCTCTGTCAAGTCTGCGAGCAAATGATGTGGCGTATATTATGAAGGTGTCCCAAGGCTGTGACAGATGAGTCTGGCCTGGTTCAGGGAATGTCAGATCAAGTGACAGCGAGAGGCATTTTTTCTGTGCTAGAGTTCGGTTAAAGAAAAAATAATCACCCAGAGAAGTTTGTTATTTCTTTTGGAAGGTCTCAGATCCCACCCCTCCCTTTTGGCATTCTCCTTTAGTTCTTGGTCAGGAGATGGATCAGTGTGGCAAAGACACTGTGGCCATTTTGGGTCTCAATGCCCAATTTCATTGGCTTGGTGAACTTACACTGAGCCTGGAGCAAAGCTTTTCCCCCCCAGAAGGTACTCAACAGAACTCAGTTCTGGCACCTCTCAGGCAGGTGTCACTGCCATTATAAGAGAACAAGGGAGATGTTCAAGGTGAGTTTCGGCACCTATTTTTCTAGAAAAATAGCCCAGGCCTGGAGTTTGTGGAAGTTTCAGGGCACCAGTGTTCCCAAGATTCAAGCTGGATATCAAATCCTGTAAAAATTTAGAACATTCCTGTTCTCAGTGGAGCTGAGTTTATGAGGGAGGAAAAGAACTATGCTGCAGTGACATTTATGACCACAGAGATGTCTGCTTCTACTGCAACCACTGACAGCCAGTGGCTTTTGACATTGCCTCATAGTTGCCAAAGCAGAACCTGGGATCCTTTGGAGACTCTCAGCCACCGTAGTCCTATTTTGTCAGCTGGTCTCTCCACAATACTGGACAGTCACTTGTCCAACCACCTTTAACTTCTTGCCAATTTAGTGGTCAACCATTCATTCAGCAGGCATGGACACCCACTGCTCCTGTCTAAGCCCTTCCATTCATTTGCCCAAACATCTATCAGATGGAGGTGACCACAGTGGTTTTGGTCCAAAAGATTCACACAAAGCCTGCACATAGCTCAGTTGGTTAAAGAGTGGTGCTGATAACATCAAGGTTGCAGGTTTGATCCCCATATGGGGCAGCTGTGTATTCCTGCATTGCAGGGAGTTGGACTAGATCAGGCATGTCGAACAGGTCAATTGTGATCTATTGGTCGGTTGTGGGGTGTCCATGGCTGATCCTGGTTGATAATAATAATAATAATTTATTATCTATTATTTATACCCTGCCCATCTGGCTGGGTTTCTCCAGCCACTCTGGGCGGCTTCCAACAAAGTATTAAAATACAGTGGACTGTTAAACATTAGAAGCTTCCCTAAACAGGGTTGCCTTCAGATGTCTTCTAAAAGTCTGGTAGTTGTTCTTCTCTTTGACATCTGGTGGGAGGGCGTTCCACAGGGCAGGTGTAAAAACAACAACCCAATATTAAACTTCAGAAATGAGTTCCTCATGTTTCGGGCACTAGGAAGTTCTTTGGAAAATGTCACCCTTTACTGATAAAGAATGGATATTAGGATGCGATCCAGCCACTAGCATTTTACTAATTGTCTTGATTCCTGTACGTGGTCGAAAGAATGCGAGAAATACAAATTTGCAAAATCGAATTTTGTAAAAAATAATAATGCATGGACACATTGGGGTAAATTGGATCTACAATTTATTAATGAAAATAAACATAGACGTTGAATCTTTCTTGGGATGAGGGGAAGTTTCTGATCACACCTAAAGCCTAATAATAATGATGATGATGAAAAAAACATGCACACATAGATGTATCCAACTCTCCAACTGTTTAACTTCATCCCCCAAAGCTGTGATCCTCCATTTCTCCTGAGATCATAGCATAGCATTCCTAGAGTTGGAAGGGGTCACAAGGATAATCTAGTCCAACCCCCTGCAATGCAGGAATCTTTTGTTGAATGTGGGGCTCAACCCATGACCCTGAGATTAAGAGTCTCATGCTCTGCCTACTGAGCTATCCCAGATACCTACCTATATGATGCTTCTGTAAGTCAAGTGGCTGGAGGATATGAAGCTCCTGTAAGTCAGCTGACTGCCTGACTGAGTCACGTGACACTTCAGCTCGTCAGCTACCCTCGTGCCTCATAGGATTTAGAACTGTTTTGTTTGACAGAAGTGCTGTATAAATTATGAGTAATAAAAACGTGGCAAAACAAGAAGAGGAACATAAAAACTGTACAACCAAATATAGGCTGCACCTGTGTATTACGCAGTGTGTAACCATTTCAGATCCCAGTTTTTGATTTATTTATTTTTGCCACAGAATTTTGGACTGGACACACTCAAGGCCCCCTGCACAATTCAGAATGGGCATTTCAGATCCTTTGGTGTGGAAGGTCTCGTTTTAAGCATCAGGTATATTATTTTTGTCAAATATCTTTTTATAGCCTGTTCCCCCACTGGATGCTTTATCTTCAGTTTTCTAATTATGGGCATGGTCAGCAATTGTCCTACATGTCCTTTTTTGCAACTACACCCCTTTCTGCTTCAGATTATAGCACCGCTACCTCAAGCACGGCCATCGATCAAACGCTACCTTTTCCAATGTGCATTCCTTTACTCTAGCCAGGTTCCTTTCAGCAGGAGGGGGGGAAATGGAGAAGAAACAGGCCCTTTAATTCATCCAGGTCTCTCAAAGGGAGCTTTTGTTTGGAAGGCAATCTTCCTTATTTGTTTTCTGGTTGTTATTTTTGTTAGCAGGTGTATATTATTCCCCCTAGTAAGTTTTCAGTGTACCATTTTTAAAGGTCTTGTTTGGTACCCGACGCTGCCTGCAATAAAGCCAACATGAGTGATTAATAGCAAAGTCTCTGCCATTTTATTATTAATAGCAGTGTGTTGACTCAATTAAATCCAGCCTGCTTTTTTTGGCAGGCCTTTGCAATTATACATATCATTATGGGCAGCAGCCCAAATGCATCCTGGGAGGAGACCAGAACTCCACATTAACTTTTTCTGGCGCTCTCAGGACATGTTGGCGACTGTGCCATGTGTCTCTAACCAAGCCAAGATGCCTATCTCAAGGATGTAAGAGGAGAGCTGGGAATGGGATACTGTAATATCGTCTCCGCATCTCGGGCTTCCACTTTAATTCGGCGCCTTTGATAAATCCGAATGGAAAAATGGGGCTGAGCTTCTCCAGGAATGGCATCCTCAGACTTTGGCCACTCTTCCCTCCTGCCGTTCTGCTCCTCCAGCTGAGAAAGGGGCAGGAGAGAGCAGGTCCTTCCCTGCTGGCGGAATCATGGAATCACTGAATTTTAGAGTTGGAAGAGACCATGAAGGACGTCTAGTCCAAACCCCTGAAATGCAGGAATCTTTTGCCCAACGTGGGGCTTGAACCCGCGACCGTGAGATTAAGAGTCTCACGATCTACCAAGCTATCCCAGGAGGAAGCTGGCTTGTACTAAGTCAGACCTTTGGTCCACCTGCTTCAGTTGTTGTCCACACTGACTATCTCCCTGGGGTTTCAAATAGGAGTCTCTCCCAGGCTTACCTGAAGAAACCAGGCCTTGTACCTGAGATTTCTGCATGCATGGCATCCATTCAGCCACTGAGTCACAGCCCTGCCGTGACCCGAGCAAGATTGATCCTACTTGAGAGGACCTATAAAGGCAGCCTTGCAGCTGCCTTCTTCATTATAAATACATAGAATTGTAGAGTTGCAAGAGACCTTGAGTATCATCTAGTCCAGGCTTGTCCAACTCCCAAGACACTGCGATCTACTCCCGCTATAAAAAAAACCTGGTAGTGATCTACCCATTGGATTGACCAAAGTTCTTGACCTTTTTTGGGGAAGCTTTTGGGGGGGGATCCAAAGTTATTGAGGGTTTTTTGGGGTGGGAGATTGCTCAGGATCATGCGATTGGTGCATGTTCTAGTTATCTCTCGCTTGGATTACTGCAATGCGCTCTATGTGGGGCTGAAATAAGATTTTTGTGTGTGTGTTTTATAAGTATGCATTATATTTATAATATTGTATTAATAATATTTTGGTTTAAATATTGGGGCTGGTTGCAGATCCAGGCGAAGAGTTAATAAAACCATGGTCCTGTTGTATCCTACATCTTTATTTCCAATGTGTGCCCATAGTTAAAGGGAAAAGAAAAACCTTCAGAGATGAAATTGTTTATTCTAGAGTCGCCTTCCATGACCTGGATCTATAGTCCATAGTCACCTGGGGAAGGCATCTTTTGGGTAAGTGAGGCTCCAGAGACTCGTATGAGAAGGTTAAATATAGAGGAGTGTGCAATTAGTCCTCCTCTTGGTGGCAGAATGGAATACAACAGAGAATGGAAGAAAATTCTTCTATGATCTAGCAATTCAAGTGCCTGGAATTTTCCTTACATGGTAAAACAGGGCGGATAGTTAGCTGTAATTTTTAACATTTTTAGGCAGTCGGCGGCGGTAACTACCAGAAAACTCTTACTCTATCAGTGAGACTCAAGGCCAACTTAACTACAGAGCAAATGCCTAATTTCTGTCCTGTGCCATTTACCAATATTTAATGACCAATGATAAGACATGTAAATGGATTAAAGTAGGTTTTTGAAATGTAGTACTATCAATCATCATCATCATCATCATCATTATTTATATACTGCCCTATAACCGAGGTTCTCAGGGATAATCATAAAATCAAGATATCAAAATAGATAATAATAATAATAATAATAATAATAATAATAATAATAAATTTTTATTTATATCCCGCCCTCCACAGCTGAAGCCGGGCTCAGGGCGGCTAACAAAAATAAAATAATACAACATTCTAAAATCAGTTCATTATAAAAATAATTCAAATCAAAATAATGGCAACCATTGGGCTAGAGTTCTGTGAGGATTACCAAAGGAGGGGGTCAGACTGTGCCCTGGCCAAAGGCCTGGTGGAACAGCTCTGTCTTGCAGGCCCAGCGGAAAGATGTCAAGTCCCGCAGGGCCCTAGTCCCTTGTGACAGAGCGTTCCACCAGATCGGAGCCACAACCGAAAAAGCCCTGGCTCTGGTTGAGGCCAGCCTAACCTCCCTGTGGCCTGGGACCTCCAAGATGTTTTTGTTTGAAGACCGTAAGTTCCTCTGTGGGACATACCAGGAGAGGCGGTCCCGTAGGTACGAGGGTCCTAGGCCGTATAGGGCTTTAAAGGTTATAACCAGCACGGGGACAGAACGGGGTGGAATCCTTAATTGGGAGCACCGCCGTTCTAGGAGATGTGTTCTTTGTTCTCTCGCTGTGATTATTAAAGTTTCTAACTGGTAAGAAGACTCCTTTTACTTTGTTCTGCTTATCTACTGCCACAGGGGAGGGAAGCCAATTTCCTGAAGCCTCACACCAAGCCTTTGTACTTGGAGGTTCCACATTGCCATCAGGGCCAGAAGCCATTAAACAGCCTTATCCTCCATCAATTTGCCAAATCCCCTCTTAAAGCCATCAAAATGGACGGTAATCGCCACATCTTGTGGCAACAAATTCCTTAAACTATGTAAGTGTCGTATGAGGAAGTACTTCAATAAAGCAACTGAATGAAGAAGTCTGTCCTCCGTTTACTGGCAATCAGTTCGCTGGATTACACTGAATTCTTTTGTTATTACCAGGGGAGTAAAACCTTCTGTCTGCCCACTGCCTCCATCCTTGAGGTCATGTCCTTCCCTCCAGTAATCTTAAAAAACAACAACTCCAAAAAACAACAAGATCCCCAAATTCTCTGGCCTTTCCTTATGAGGAAAGTGCTTGAGCTTCCTCAAAATTCTGGCTCTTCTTCACTTTTAACAGATTTACATTATCCTTTTTTCCCAGATGTGGTGACCAGAATTGCACACCTTTCCCAGATGCAGCTGTACCATAGATGCAGGTGGCTTATAGGAAGGTAAGAAGTAGATCCCTCCAAAGAGGTATATTAGGGGCCAATACTTTTTATTTAGTTACAAATTAGCTGGAGAGAAGTGCACTGCTCAAGTTTATGAAGGACACCAAAATATTACTGATGGTGATAAACTGAGCTCCAAAAAGACCTCACCAAATGGAAGGCAGGGAGGGAGGGAGGGAGGGAGGGAGGGAGGGAGGAAGGAAGGAAGGAAGGAAGGAAGGAAGGAAATGAGGTGAAAATGGGAGATAGCATCCTAATTTCAGATATACACCGGTGTTTGAATGGGTGCTAACTGTTAGGCACTTTAGTGTGAATTCCTCCTAATAAACACATTTTTGGATGTAGTTTTGAGAAATATATGTTTTTGAAAGCAATTTATCATAATATAATGCATTTTGTATCTTATTTTTTACTAATTCATGCATTTATATGACTTTTTCACCCGAACCCAATGCATTTTTCTACACATTGCATGGCTGGAGAACTGCATTGCAAAATTCGGGAAGGGTGGGTGTATTTTATCATCATCATCATCATCATCATCATCATCATAATTTATTATTTGTACTCCGCCCATCTGGCTGGGTTTCCCCAGCCACTCTGGGCGGCTTCCACAAAGACAAAAAATGCACTAATATGTCATACATTAAAAACTTCCCTGAACAGGGCTGCCTTAAGATGTCTTCTGAATGTCAGGTAGTTGTTTATCTCTTTGACATCTGATGGGAGGGTGTTCCACAGGGCAGGTGCCACTACCGAGAAGGCCCTCTGCCTGGTTCCCTGTAACCTCACTTCTCGCAATGAGGGAACCGTCAGAAGGCCCTCGGTGCTGGACCTCAGCGCCCGGGCAGAACGATGGGGGTGGAGACGATGGGGGTGGTTCATGAATTGCTTTGGAACATGCAGATTTGGTTAGTTCACCTCTAAATGCCAACAGTATCAAATTTATCCTCCATACCTATCTGGAAATAAGCCCCATTAAATTCAATGGGACTTCTGAATAGACATAGGACTGCACTGTAAGACATTCAGGATTTGCTAATGAGAGAATTCCATTTCCATTTTCTTTGACATCCCCAGTGTTTTTATTTGCAGTGCAGTCAAAGATGTGAAAAAATGTTGCCACTATCTAGTAAAGGAATGGTACTAATAAGAAGAATATACACTGTAACCCTAAAACCATACGATATCGTCAGTAAAAATGCAAACAAATAATTTCTAAAAGCAATAACAAAAAACAAAACAAAACATAATGCTACCAACCTATATAGACACACACATACACACACAAACACCCAACAGATATAAAACTAAAAGATATGGCACATTAAAACTGCACCCTCCCCAAAACCTTAATGTTACACATTAAAATAAAAGTGTCTGTAATTTTTGGTAGAGGAGATACAAAGGAAGAGCCTTCAAGCCAATATGTGGGACAGGAGAACTGTCAGTGCTAAGGGGGACATAGATATACTGCAATATAGCACATTAGAATATATTAGCATATTAGAAATCTGCTGGGCATGGAGATAACCAATAGACAGGAAATTGCGTATTGGTTGTGTTGGTCTGTGTGTCAAAGACAGCAAAGGGCCCAAAACATTACAAGCCAGCTCCTTCAAAGGTGGCAATTCCAGGCTTATAAAGTAATTTAATACTGCTGGGACATACCGGTACTTTCACCCACCTGATCAAAACAGTGAAAATGAATGGAAAACGGGAAGAGAAAGGAAGGAAGGCAACCCAAGAAGGAAACATTGCAATGATGAGTGACTTTAGACACCCTCACATCAGCAGGGCAGATGTCTTTTTGGATCCCAGTTAAGTCAGAATGCCAATATACCCTTCATGACAGTGCTTTGGGGTGCCAACTTGAATAAAATATTGGGGGGCAGGTAAGCCCTGCCCCACGCAATCAATCACAAGGCATTGTGAACACACCCCATTTGAATGGCAACGCCCATCAACTTTGAGTGGCCCAGGCAGAGGGCCTTCTCGGTAGTGGCGCCCGCCCTGTGGAACGCCGTCCCACCAGATGCCAAGGAAATAAACAACTCTCTGACTTTCAGAAGACATCTGAAGACAGCTCTGTTTAGGGAAGGTTTTAATGTTTGATGTTGTTCCTTTTTTATTATTGTTGTGGGTGTTCTGTTGGGAGCCGCCCAAAGTGGCTGGGGAAACCCAGTCAGATGGGCGGGGTATTAATCACCACCACACCACCACCATCATCATCAAAACTGAGGGTACTACAAAAAATGAAGTTGAAGGGAAAGTTGAGAGCAGGGCCAGATTTCGGTTTGATGAGGCCCTAAGCTACTGAAGGTAATGGTGCCCTTTATATGTTCAGCTGTCCTTTGTCAACAACAAATTGTCACTGTTTTTTTGAGTTGAATATATGCTATATGGTAATTTATGGACCTAATAGGTATCTAAAGCCATTTGCACATAACAAAATATGTATTTTATCAAAGTAATTGTTGAACTGAAATACAATTAAGAAGTATATTAATAGTGAAATTTGGGGAGGGGGTCCCCAAG